CTGGTTATAATGCAGGACTTAGAATGTACACTAGGTAGGTACGGTGAAGATAGTGTCTCACTAGAGCCTTAACGGATTTACGCGAACTTTGACTCCTATTATTGAATAATGAAAATGTCATTACTAGTGTGAATTTATGACTGAAGTTTTATGACACACGATTCACAGGTTTCATGACTCGCTGTTTATGACACGTGTTTTACAGATTTCATGACATGCAGTTTATTACTATGAGCTTTATGAGCTTTATGAGCTTTATAATAGGCAGATTATGACACACGCATGTTTCTGTCATAATTTCTATTTAGTATACCATTTTGGTTAAATTACTTATAATACTTTTTATAAATAATCATTAGTGAACATGACTAATTGTAACATATGTTGTGAAAATAGCATAATATCTTAGGTTTTAAACCATCAAAATAGCGACAACATAGTTACGGCTATTTTACTAATAAAATTTATTTTTAGCAAAATATAAAGATTTGTAGTTTGTTTAACACACCATAACCGGTTTGAAAGTTTTGTAACACAAAATATTTTATTTTGTTTTGACTCTGATAAGTCACGATTTTTACAAAAACACATATAAAAACCTTGAGATTTATTATATTCAAATATTTGTGTAAAGCATAAGAGTTGAACATGCATATGTCCAAGAGGTAAACATGTTTGGGCATACACTCATATTTTCACCATTTTGGAGTGTACAATCATGACAACGAAAACTTTTATGTAACAAAGATGTTATCAACATTTACTTCACGATTTTAACACATGTTAAGAGCCTTTTTATTCTAGAACTTGTTCCATTTTCAACCCATAACTATAATGCATGCAATTACCCAAAGGATAAACTTAATCTAGCATACTTGGAGTTTGTCAATCATGAGTTTATGGTGTGTTAGTATAAGATATTCAACATCATAAGCACAACTTGTTACATAAACATGATGGTGCATGCAAATATCCAAAGGGTAAACGAGACTTGACTTGTATTCTCCCCCCGAAAAGTATGAAAAACACGAAAAGATGGGGGTATGAAACTCACATTGAAGATCTCGTGAGTTGTAGGAAGAAGAAGAAAGAAGTTGTTCAGCCTAGCCTTACACGTCTTGAAGAGTTCTCGAAAATGGGGGAATGTTCTAAGAATCATACACACGAAAATGGGTGTGTAAATGGAATGATCTTAACATTATCATGTATGAAAACACTTGAGTTTTACAAGAACTTACCAAAATGCCTAGGACCGATTTGTAGTGATGATGCTCGAAATTTTGAGAGAAGAGATGGAAGAAATTTCTTGAGAGCAAAGTGAGTGAAATAAATTTGTGAGGTGTGTGTGTGTGTGTGCTCGACCGTAAGTATAAGAGGGAGAAGGAAATTGAGTGCCTTGATGCATGGTGGTCCATAAGGTGTTGTGCATGGATGTATGAATGTTAGTCACATGCATGGATTGGTTGCCTCATGGTTAAGAGAGGGTAAAGCCTTGAGGTGACACTCTTTTTAGTATTTTTTTTTGTTTTACTTGTGCCCAACCCGATTTTTATTAATTTAGGAGAGGGGTTTTCGGTTTTAGGGTGGCCGAAAACACCCTATGTTCTTAATGGAATTTCGGTTTGGAGTGTGTATGAGCTTTTGAACTTAATTTGGCCCAATAAGGGAGTTTTCAGTCCAATAAAGCCCAAAAGAAATGAGTTTTCGGCCTAGAGTGTTTGGGCCGAGAACTCTTGGGCCAAGGCCCAAAATTTATTGGGGTTAGCTATTGGATCAAGTTTTTGGGCTTGCAAGAGGCTATTTCAACTTGATTCTTAATGTATGCTCATATGTATTCAAATAACATTGTAGTTTAAATTTCACTAATTTGATGCAGTAAGGTTACATAGAGGAATTGTTTTGTACAAGCTTTCCAATCTCAACCCTAAATTGCTAATTGTGACAATTAATCCTTGGAAAATAAACTAGTCTTGATGATTTGTTTGTCAGAGATAAGCTTGAATTAGTATGGCTTCCAGGAGTCGAAGCTCTATATGGAAAAGTTGGTGATAAACACCCAGGTGCTTACTGCTTACTGCTTATACTCTTTCTATCTCTTATTTATCTAAAGGAATTAAATATACTTTTTTAAATGTCAATACCCTTTATGTTAATGTTTTTTATAGGTTATAATCCTAGTGACTCGGTAACAAATGAGGTGAAATATGAGGGAAAACACCATTAAATGTTGTATGTCCATTGCTTATATAAGAGCTCAAGAAAAAGAAGAGAGACGTTGGGGGAAGGAATTTAAAAGGGATGTACATTTTTTTTCTTTGCAAAAATGGTCCCCCAAATGCGAAAAAACATATTTGCCCTCACATGGAGGCATATGAGGGGGTTAACAACAACAAACTAACGGCTATTAATTCCACATAGAAACATGGTCAAAAGGACCACGAAGCCAAAAAAGTCGAGGTTTAGACTAAAACCCGAAAAAAATAAAAACCACACGGACCATTTTTGCAGTTTTGTCCATTTTAAAGGATCCAAGACCAAGTTAGAGGTTTCTAAGTATGATATCAAACATACCGAATTAAACTCAACCTCGTACTAGACTCAATAAGAGACATATCAAACATCCTCTAACTATAATTATTTTAGAATAAAATTGATTCCTTACTATTGGACAAAAAAAAAACTATAATATCTCAATTCTCAAATTTCAACATATTGGGACTAGGTTTATTTTAATTTATTCTATCCGGTGAATATTCCCTCTTATATTTTCCAAACTTGAGTTCTTTTTTTCATTTAATTAGAATAGAAAAGTAGATGATTTTTATCTTACACAATAATTTTGACATGATTTGCTTACACATGTAATGGTTAGTGACCCCAAAATTTCTAGATCCATCGTTGCGTACGATTCATAAAATGTTAGCTACTTATTTATAATTTCGCAACTCATAACCATTTCGAAGCTTAGGACAATTAAGGTTGCGTTTAGTTACGGAAAGATGGGCCGTTTTCCGGAAAAAATTTCCAAGAAAAATGAGAGTTTTGAAAACACGTTTAGTTCGTCTATTTTTCTAAATTTTTCACGGAAAATAAAAAAATTTCATTTTCTAAAATTACAAAGAAGTTGGAAATTTTTGGAAAACTGATAATCATTGTTTTCCATATTTTTCTAATTCCAAATTTTTTCCAAAATATAAACACACACCCACTCCACCCCATCCACCTCTACATATCCTCACCTTAACACGCCCAACCCACCACACCTCTACCTACCCACACCCACTCCCAAGTCTACCCACACACACACACACAAACAAACTCTCACACACACACACACCCACAACACACACACACACAAACAAACTCACACACACACACCCACAAACACACAAACACACACACATACCCACCCCCACCCCCAAAAACCAACACACACACACACCCACACCAACAAACACACAAAGACACACCCATTCACCCAACACCACTACCACAATCACCGGCCTACCATCACCATCACCACCACAACTAACCCCATCACCACCATCACCACCACCACCAATACTGTCACAGTTGTCGCTGTCACCACCACTGTCTGTCATCACCACCACCGCCGCCCCCACCCCCATCCTACCACCGCTACCGTTTTCTAAAAATGAAAACCGATAGAAAAATACACATCTAATCATGTTTTCAAATTTTCTAAAACTGAAAATGAAAAATGAATAAGTTTTAACTAAACGCGTTTTCTAAATTTTCCAATGAAAACTGAAAACAGAAAACGAAAACTGAAAAGGGAAAACGAAAAACGAAAAACGAAAAATGAAAACTGTTTTTTCGTAACTAAACGCAACCTAAGTAATTTTGTTTTGTCCTTTTACATGCCCATTTAGCATGTCAAGACTAAGATTTCGTATCCAGTTTCACAGTGCTTCCACTCAAAATAAGTGATTATTTGAGGATTTTTTTTTTATTTTTTGTTAAATAATTTATAAAAAAAAGGAAAAAGAAAGAAAAAGAAAAAACTAGTTGAATTTGTTACTTTCTCCGGTAAATATGATAGTATATCATTATGACTATGAAATATAAGTATACGAGTGGTAAACTTTTGGGTTAATGACTTAGAAAGGTAACAAACTTTTGTATTTGTCCACATTAAGGTAATCATGTTTTTTTCGTTCACATTTGACCATTGAACTTGTTTGACCTGTTCAAAATAGGGTAATATGACCGGTAATTACGGTAATATTACCCTATTATGAACAGGTCAAACAAGTTTATTGGTCAAATGTGTACAAAAAAAAACATGGTTACCTAAATATGGACAAAAACCAAAGTTTCTTACCCGTTTTGGTAATACTGGACAAGAACCGTCTTAGGGACTGTGTGTCTTGGGATCAGGCTCTGACAGTCGATGAACAATTAGGTTAGGCTTGATCTAACCCAGTTTAGTCCCGGCTAGTCATGGGCTAAGCTGTGTTGCTCGGTCTTTAAAACACATACAACCTAGCCCCTTAAGCGTATACAACCTAACCCCTAACTAGTTGGGCCTAAACTGGGTTGGCCCAAGACTTAACCATCTCCTCATACACAAGACCGGACAACCCAATTTAATTTCACATCAATGGATCTTATGACTACTTGCACTTAACATAAAGAACCCAATATTACCAAAATAGGTAATGAACTTTGGTTTTTGTCCAAATTTAGATAATCATGTTTTTTTCGTACACATTTGACCAGTAAACTTGTTTGACCTGTTCAAAATAGGGTAATATGACTGGTACCTGTTCATAATAGGGTAATGTTACCGCTAATTACCGGTCATATTACCCTATTTTGAACAGGTCAAACAAGTTCAATGGTCAAATGTGAACAAAAAAAACATGGTTACCTAAATGTGGACAAAGATCAAAGTTCGTTACCTTTCTAGGTTATTAACCCTAAACTTTTTTGTTTAAATATATACTTAAAAAGTGTAACAGCAAAAGTAAAATGGCATGAGCGCCCATGGTATATTGGACCATAATGAGAAATAAAGTCCTATAATTGAATATATTCCAAAATACAGGGGGTGTAAGTGTTCTTTTGAAGAACATATGTAGACGAAGCGAGACAACCCCATTGCCTTTCTACCCAAGATTTCTATGCTATATTCATAAATCTCTTTGCAGATTTTGAGATTTCTACGAATCGGTTGCGCTCTCGATCAGTAGTGAACTCGTAAGTCGATCATATCTTCAGTTTGTTTATAGCTGTTCATGTAGTATTTTAATTTTCGATCACTACTAATCCCTAATTAGCGGTGTTCCTCCCAAACTTGTTAATAATTCGTTTATTTTTATGATTGGAGTAGATTTGTTGTAATTTAGGTATCTGAAAATGTCAAATACGACAATGGATGTTCCGAAAACCGGATTCAGTTTCGACCTGTGTAGGAGAAACGATATGCTGGCGAAGAAAGGCTTGAAACCTCCTGGGTATCTTAAAACGGGAACCACCATCGTTGGCTTAATCTTTGAGGTACGCTGTGCTTCTGTTATCTTTGGTTGTTTGCTTGCTTGTTCTGTTAACAGCTTTATATGTTTTGTTTAATCTGAATTGGGTTTATCTGAAGTAAGATTATAAATACTTTCAGTTAAATGTTTCTGTATCACACTAGAAAATGTGATGAAGTTGTGTATTTCTAGGGTTTACTGAAATAAACAAATTAGGCATCAAAAGTATACAATTGCTTAGGCTTACCATGATCATAAACGTAAGTAGTTTCTCTCGAGATGAATTACCTCTAATCATGACCATTTCATCTTCAGAATGGTGTGATTCTTGGAGCAGATACCAGAGCCACAGAAGGTCCCATTGTTGCTGATAAGAACTGTGAGAAGATTCATTACATGGCACCAAACATTTACTGTTGTGGTGCTGGAACTGCTGCTGATACAGAAGCTGTTACAGGTACTCTTTCAGTCATCTCTGTTTCACTCCATCACTTTTTTTTAAAGATCCCCTCCCCTTAACTTAGTCGTATACATCTCTTTTTTATTAGACAACATCAGCTCTCAACTGAAGCTACACAGATATCACACTGGTCGTGAATCAAGAGTTGTAACAGCACTTACACTGTTAAAATCTCATCTTTTTCGGTAAGCATAAGATTATTTATGATTATTTTTCTTTTTCTTTCTGTTATTTAGAAGTATCTGACTTTGTTTTTACTTACTCAGCTACCAAGGCCATGTTTCTGCTGCTTTGGTACTTGGTGGAGTTGATGTCACAGGCCCTCATCTCCACACTGTAAGTTGATTTATTTATCGGGTATTTGAAAAATAGTTTTTACTAATTTTTCCAAAAAAATTACCTTTTTTTAGATTTATCCTCATGGATCAACTGACACACTCCCATTTGCCACAATGGGATCTGGTTCTCTTGCTGCCATGGCTATCTTTGAATCAGAGTATCGTGAAGGACTTACTGTGAGTTTTTACACTTTTCACATATTCAAAGATTCATATCTTCAACAGTTTGATGATTAATGAGTATTCATATTTTTTACAGAGGGATGAAGGGGTAAACTTGGTAACCAAAGCTATATGTTCTGGCATATTTAATGACCTTGGAAGTGGAAGCAATGTTGATGTGTGTGTGATAGAAAAGGGTAAGAAGGAGTATCTGCGCAATCATCTCACTCCAAATCCCCGAACTTACATTAGTGAAAGAGGCTATACTTTCTCCAAAAAAGCTGGTTAGTAATCACCATATTCCCAAAAGTTAAAATAAGTTTCCATTTTTTATGAGTTTATTTGATTCTAATGATCCAATTTGTGTTTACAGAAGTTCTGCTTACAAAGATTACACCACTGAAGGAACTGGTTGAAGTAGTTCAAGTGGGAGGAGATGCCATGGAAGAATAAGTTTACCATTTCTACCATTTATTTCAGCAAATTATGTCTTCTTTTCGTTTAGAATGAGCTGCTTGAGTTTAAATGACACTGAATCCAGTTGTTTGTTATGATGTTATCATTTCATGTTATGGAATATGAAGTTGCTGAATTTTATTCAAAGTTAGTATTCGAATTTACAATATTTACATACACACTTTTCATACTATACTAATAAGTTTGCTCCAAAAGATTGGAGAATCGAAGTAATAGGAAAATACCCTTTTGCTGCACTGGACCCTGATGTGGCATTAATGATTGTAAACCATTGGCTAGCAGGGTCACACGTGTTGCCATTGGTCAAACATTTACAGTTATTTGTGACAATATTGTTTTCAGAATCTACATCCAGACAAACAATTGTCCCATTGTTGATCTTTGATGAAAGATGTAGTTTAGATGCTGATATTGGTTCCCATTTTGAAGATTGATCTGTGCATATTATCCCTAATTTTGCGTTCTTCCCAATTCCATCTGCTTGTAGGCAATAGTATGTTCCCTTAATTGTTAGGATTTCTCTCTGGGTGTAATCCCAATGCTCTGCTCCCGAACACGGTCCCAAAATCAATGGCTTGAAAAACGATTGTCTTTGCACGCAAAGACCGGTTGACGGATGGAAAATGATTTTATGTGGACGCGTATTTGATAATCCTGGTCCTGCATAACATATACACAACTGTACAATAAGCAAATCCAGGAGGAAGAGGATCTGATAGGCCTGATCAATTCCATAATTGGAATTGATCAGGGCTTATTATACAACTGTATAATAAGCAAAACCAACATCTGATAGGCTTGACCAAATATCCTAAAGATATGGTTGGGTCTATTTGTCTTACCTTGAAAAGGAGATTGGACAGCTGAGATCTTTTCCAAGAAACTTGAATTTCTCGGACCACACCAATCCCAATTCAAAACACCATAAAACTCCCCCATTCCAACAACACCTTGCCTAAAATAGTAACTTCCCGCAAGTGTCCATAAAGCCCAATCAAGGTCATGGTTAGCTGCCCATGCCAAAAAACAATTCAAGTACCTATTGTCATTGTCATTTGTTCCCCTTTGATCTATACCCCATTCACTTACAAACAAAGGGTAACCATTGTCCAATAAAAACCCGGCTTTTTTCGTTATACTATCAACCACCCGCCCACATACCTCATTCGGGTTACCATTTTCCCATTCTTCACTATTTGAAAAACCATACCAATGGACTTCAAAAACCAGTTTTTGACTAAATGTTAAGGTTACAGGTTGGATTTGAAGGAAAGAGAGATCTTTGTCATAGCTCAAACCAGACATGATAACTAGAAGATTAGGGTTTGCTTCATGAACAGCTTCTGCACCTTTTTGCATGTACCTAAAAACAATCAAATTACAAAAAACAAACACTTAACTACCAGATTAAGGGTTTGTTTGATAGTTACCGAATGAGTGTAAGGGGTATATCAGAGGAGCCAAGACCGAGTCAGAGACTTTTAACTAACTGATATCAAACAGTATGAATCTGACCGGGTTGGACGCAAACTCATACCACAACCGAAACTTATATTAAGTTATGTTTTCATTAAGTTTTTATGTTACCTGTACCAAATGGTGATGTTTTGTTTAGGTCCACGAAGTTCGTTTCTTAAGCTCATAGCAACAACATTGGTTGAGTTGTTAAAGATGGTGGCGACTTTTGTGAGACCTTTTAACCAGACATCAGGGTCAAAATATTGATCACCAAAGAAGCCATTACCATCGAAATCACTGCAACACCATCCAGGCTTGCTTATCTGATTATCTAATATTATCATCACGTTGTTTCTATCCAGACTTGATACAACTTCCTGTAAAAAAAAAAAAATCAAAAAGTTATTGCACTCTGACTCGATTGATGCTTTAGTTCGCTGTACTTTTATACACTCCGATCAAATTAGTTTATAAGAAGACATGAAGTCTTAAGTAAAAATTACGTACCTGAAAAGCTTTGATGAGTGGGAGATCAATAATGGAAGGATTGTTGGCTTGAAATCCGGCAATTGACTCGATCAATCCAAGTTTTCGAAGCGATTGTCTGACTGTAACTGACCCTAGGGTGTCGTTTGTGAATAAGAAAAGTGGGTATGTTAGTCTTACACAGTTGAATCCCATCTCCAAGATTTTCTTCGAGATCATATCCACCGGTTGTTTGCTTAATCCCTCTGCAACCACCGCATCTAGATGGCTAACCCAGTTCACGCACGATAGCTTCACTCTTTCTCCGCCGTTTCCGTCGTCGACAATCCATCGTGAGTTTGTGGAGAGTGGAAGTGCCGCCGCCCTGAGGTGGTGGTGGGCGGTGGTGGCAAAAAGGAGGAGGAGGTATAAAATATTCAGACCCATATACATTGTATATGATGATTTAGGATAAGTGTGTATTTAATATTTATGGATGCCCAATATTGTGAAGGTTGACATCACTATCACTTGTTGCCGCTACTTTAGTTTTTCGTATGTAAAGTCAATATTACCCTTGTGTTCTAACAAAAATTCCAAAATAAAATGCTTGTTTGCCGTATGATCGGTTTTTAAATATTTGATTATAAACGTGTGTAAACGAAAATTACAAGTTCAAAATTTATGCTTGATTTGACAATATAAGATGAGTATGTAATATTTTAAAGATGGATATGAATCATTTTAAAATTTTGACAATTATATAAATTTTTATAAAATATATCCAAATCTATTTTAAATATTAAATAAAATAGATTAAGTAATTAACAAATTAAAATTTTAATATCTAAATATAACTAAAGTGTAAAATAAACTGTTATGAAATATAAAATCCAAAATAGACAAACCATTAAAATAATTAAAATGTTAGAGAATAATAAATTGTTGGAATGACAGAAAAACTTCATTTCAATGGAAAAAAACTTTTCAAAATTTTTTCGAATAGTAAAAACTTCTGAAAAACTATCATTAAACACGGTCTAATAGAAAGGTTTTAAAAGGTTATTGTCCTTGGACTTTTTAAAATTGATTTAAAGATTTTTAAGATAAAACAACATTAATGCTCTTATTTTTAGGGCTGACAAATATGTACCACGGATAACCAACCAACATGTTACCAACCGAACCAACAAAATCGGTAGCCAATATGTTTGGTAGCCAATATGTTTGGCTGGTAATACCATGCCAATTAAGTAGTCTTGGTACGGTCACGGTACAAAATTTTGAATACCACTGTTGTACCATACCAACCAATATATATATATATATATATATATATATATATATATATATATATATATATATTTCTTACATTTTCAAGTTTTAAATAGGAGTAACAACTAACAAGTAATAGTCGGAGTTAGTAATATAATTCTATTGATATTGATTCTTTTTTAAACGAAACATTATAGTAAAAGAAATTACTAACACAAGGTTAAGGAAGGTACATGACAGTAAGATGATTTACTAAAACAAGCGACGACCACAACTTCAACTCACGTTCATACTTGGAAAACTTTCTAACCATTAAGTGATGATTATAATGTGAAGTCTTATATATATTATAGTCTCAAACTCAGTATAGATATTATTTAAATATTTTAGTATATACCAATACCAATATGTACCAACCAAATTTGTTGGTAACCAACTAAATTGGTACCAAGTATCATTGGTACGGTATTGGTAGGTAAAACTTCATGTCAATTATAATTAGTACGGTATACGGTTTGAAGGAAAAAAATTTGGTACCGTACCAATTTCACCCCTACTTATTTTAACATAAACAGTAAACAAACGCCCATCTTCTATTCACCTTCATATCTTTTTCCATTGATGGTTCTCCCTTGTTATCACAATATAGGTCAAAATATGTAAGCAGTTTTTGCCAAATATTCTAAAAGATGTTTATCAGATTATAATATTTTACGTTTTGAAATGCTTTTTGTTTTCAAATTTCAAAACTCAATCCCCAAACACAAGTGTATGTTCGCATATGAAAAGGTAACAAAGATCTACATGACTGATTTTGTAACCTTTTTCCTGTTTAATTGTGTTTTTAGTTTTTAGATAGCAAATGCGTCCATTCTATTTTTTTTTTCTTATCTAAAATAAATAGTAAATGATTTAAGCAGCATATTTAATATTTTTTTCTTCATAACAATATATAAATGAATTACCAAGAAAATCTTACAAACATAAAAAACTTTTCATGATTGTTGTAACTGGTAAAAAGAAAAATAAAACACGTTTTTTCCTTTTCCCAGAAAACTAGTATAAATTAAGCTCATATTTTTTTAAATCTATTTTTTCTATTTCAATGCAGTATATTAATAAGATTAATATGGCTTAAAATATTTTTATGTGCATATTGAGAAAATCATTCCCATGGTTTCCAAAATATAGAATTTTTAGTCTACAAGATTCATTTGATAAGTTTTGTTGCATATTTGGTCCCTTAAACCGAAGCTTGTTATGTCATAATCGTTAAGCCCTCTCATGTGCCTTGTGCATGAGGGTATTTTGGTCATTGTAACTAGATGCAAAACACCAAGAACAAGATGAAAAACATGCAGAATATATGATGATCCTTATTGTCTTTTCCCTTAACAAAGAAACACCCAAAAACTAACTAAAAATCTCAAAGATAATTTTGTAAAATAGAAACATAAACATAAACAACCCACAAACCAATAATCTTAAGATAAAATCAAATCACTTAAGCAAAAAATCATAGATGAATTTATGTGTATATGTAAAATCTACAAACCTGCTACATGTATGGGTCTTTGACCAAAACCTTGTCATGGAAGGTCTTGAACTCAAACTAATTTTGAAAAGAATTAGAGAAAGAATTTGTATGGATGAGTCGAGTGACGGTGGTGAGTAGTCTTGTTGAAATGACGAAAATACCCTCATGGTGGCGAATTCACGGATACTGCTTAACGGGCATTAGGTCAAGGGAATGTGAGTGTAACAAAGGTGTGAAACAGGGAAGGAAACTTAAATATCCCCACTTATGTCCGAAATATTTATTTCGTAGTATTTAGTGTCACCGTTTCCAATAAAATGTCTGATTTTATGCATTAATATCGTATATAGTTCAGATTACTATGATTATTTTTTAACTTTTTGTTAGATTTAAATAAAAATGATTTTTTTCTCAAAATTCTGGAATTGTTCATCAGATTTCAGACGTGTTCTTGAAATTCCGAAGTTCTATTTTTTTGAAATCTGAAATTTTAGCCCGGAATCCGAAATCTCGGTCCAAAATGTAATTTTTGTTTTCTTGGTCCAAAATATGAATTTCGGACTAAATGGTTATTTTTGCTAAAAAACAAATTTTTTAGGTTATTTTTTTCAAATATACATTAAATTGTGGTTAGATTACTTAATTTCCATCAGGTATTTTATCATTGATTTAGATCAAATCATTCTTAATTCTTAAATAACATATAGTAGTTCCAAAAAGGAAATGGAAAAGTAGATCGCATGGACTTTAAGAGGTTTTGGCAAGACTTCAAAGGCAAACAACAATGGCAATGCTTCTTGTACAAATGAATCATTTTCTTTTGCTTAAATTTTGTGGAATCATTGTTATACCAAGGCACGGAATATGATTGGATTAAGATTATGGAGTTTGACTTCATTTTTCAGATAATTTGAAAGAAACAAAGTTTCTTATAGAAAATTGATGCGATCAGCGATAAATGACCATGGCACTAAATTTATAGTAGTTGTATCAAATCATGGTATTTTGTAAGAATATTTACCAAGTCAATATATTTTGAAACTTATGTGCCCAAAGGAAAAACAAATAAATTTGATCATTGTAAAGAAACAAATGAATCATAAAAGACTTTATACTTCGTTCTGGAGGGTTAATCTCGGTGTGGGACCCTTCGGTTTTCTTGAAATATCGAGTTTTTAGTTCAGATAAAATGTTAATTGTAGAGGGCCTGAGGGTGAATGGGTGTTCTTAAAATTAAAATGTTTCTTGATTAATGTTTACGCGCCTCAGGAAGACTGGCAGAAAGAGGATTTATGGCGCTCGATTACTTCTTTTATGGAACAGAACCTGGTAATTACATGATTTTTGGTGATTTCAACGTGGTTTGTTATGCTTCAGAGAGATTAGAGAGACTAGGGTCGTTGTTCAATAATACCGCAACAGATGCTTTCAATGATTTTATAAGTATTTTTCATTTATGGAACGTCCCCTTGGGTGGGCATGCTTATATTCGTATCAGAAGCAACGGGGAAAAATTAAGTAAGCTTGACAGGTTCTTAGTTTCGGAGGTTGTTTTCAATATTATTCAAAATCTAGAAGTGATTGCTCTTGACATATTGATCTCAGACCACATGCCTATCGTTTTGAGACAATTTATTGAAGATTATGGTCCTGTCCCCTTTAAGTTGTATAACTCCCGGTTACATTCTCCTGATTTTGATGACTTGGTCAAAACGGCTTGGTCTGAAGCTCAAGTTTGTAAAGGCTCTAATATGTGTATTGTTTTTAAAAACAAATTGAAGTTTGTGAAAGAAAAAAATGGAGCTTACGCTCGAGATTACTCAGATGAAAAGAACTCAAAGAAACAAGTTTGATTTTAGCCATTGCTGAAACCGAAAAAGCTATTGAGGGTGGTATTGGTACGGATGACATGATAAAAGAAAGATTCAATTTATTAAAAAACCTTCGTGATTTGGAAAATGAAGATAGACCTGATGCGGCGCAAAAAGCTAAAGTTAATTGGGATATAGAGGCTGATGAAAATACGAAATTTTTCCATGGTTTGATTAATCAGAAAAGGCGGCAACTCTATATCAAAGGAATAAAGAGTGAAAGGGTGTGGCTAACTGATCATGGGGTTGTTAAAGATGTTTTTTTTCCAGTTTTTTCAAGAGAAATATAAAGCCTTTAATGGGGGTGAAAGTGAGTCACAGAAGTAATCAGTACAAATCCTTGAATGATGATCAAATTAATTCCTTGGAAGTGATTATTACTGAACAAGAGGTGCGTGATGCTATATGGGCTTGTGTGAAACGTCCTAAGAATACGATCCAAAATTTTCATTTTTAATTTAATAAAACAGTATTCCAAAACATTATCCATACAACCCAAATGAAAATAAATGTATCAAACATCATATCAATCAGAGTGATATCTCAAAAGCGGAAACCATGTGGTGTGTGCGATGTAGTCATCCCGAGCTCTTCCCCTTGGAACCGGAAGTACCTGGAACATAAACTGAAAGTCGTAAGCACAAAGCTTAGTGAGTCCCCCAAGATACCGCATACCAAACATAAAACACATAACGAGCCCCGCCCAAGAGTATAACGGGCCATGCCCAATGAGCATAACGGCCCCCGCCCAATGAGCATAACGGGCCCCGCCCTAACTCGTATAACGGGCCCCGTCCAATGAGT